GGCTGGCTCCACATGATTTGGGTCACCAAATAGATTTCCATCCCGCCAGTGCGTGAGATGTGAGCAGTGGCAGTGAACAGCGGCACGCCGGCACCGTAGCAGTCCAAAATCTTTCCCTCCCCTGCGGCAAATTTTTGGAAATCTCTTCTTTAATTTTTGTGAAAGTGAAATCGAGATTTCAAACGATTTTACGAAAAAATCGCGCTTTTACATTTTTATCATCCGATTTTATGAAAATCCGATTTTAAAGTCGATTTTACTCGGCATCCATACCTAACATCGTAAAATCTTACGATTTTACGATATAAAACGCGATTTTGACAACACTCTTGCGGTGTCTTAATTATCTTGTAATAGATATATGGATGTGTGTAAGAATTGTTGGCTTTATATAGTGATAAGATTGGTATGTATTTTTGGAAAGTTCAATTTATTCTCGAAATTGAACTTCAAACTCAACCAGTAATGGTATTTATAAATTAAATCTTTCCCTTCTCATCTATTGTCATAAATAAAACATTGTCATCATTACTAATTAAGACAACATGATTTTAATTTGAGGTCTTCTATCTTAGCATAATAGTTTAGTCCAAAATCAATTACTGTAATAATCCCTTTATAGATTTTATGACAAGCTAAAAGGTGGTTGCAAGATTTTCCTTAAAAACATAATCGATAGTTTGTAATCCCTAATAGTAGTAATTACACATACTCCTAATTCAAATATATTTAGAAGTATAGAGTTTATGATCCCTAAATTAGTAGTAATACAAGAACTACTAATTCAAATCTATTTAGGAGTATATTATTTCTAACTGTAACTTGTGTGAAAATAAAAAGATTTTGTGGGTTCATATCAAGATTTTATATTACTACTTCAAATACACTTTGATAAGATTAAGTGAGACTCACATCAACATCATAACCTCTTTCAATCCTAATAAGATATGAATTGTCTTAATATGATATCTCGCGATTTCTATAAATACCCACACACAAATTAGAGTAGATATGTTGATTATATACCCACAACTGCAGCTCACAAACATTGCCCCAGCCCCAAAGCTCTCTAGCTTTATTTCTCTCAAAACTCCAAATCCCTTATTAAAGCTCTTGGATTAACTCATGGAAGTTCTAAATAATTCACCTTCATGCAGAAACCTAATCACCATTCTCAGTATTGATGGTGGTGGAATTCGGGGGATCATCCCCGGAGTCATCCTTACCTTTCTAGAGTCTGAACTTCAGGTAGCTACTAAAAGTGAACAATTGTTATAATCTCTTCATTCTCAACTTTTACATTCAATTGTAGTACTTGTCCAATTATTACACGTTATTATCTTTTTTTTGCTCATATTGCAACAAGAATGAACAATTCAAACTGATTTTTGTAATCTTGAGTTCAGAAACTGGATGGCGAAGAAGCAAGAATAGCAGATTATTTTGATGTGATTGCCGGGACTAGCACTGGCGGCCTGGTGACAGCCATGCTAACTGCTCCTAATGAAAAAAACCGTCCCCTGTTTGCTGCCAAAGACATAAAAGACTTCTACCTCACCCGCTGCCCTAACATCTTCCCTCAATCCAGGTAACGATGTTCTAAATTTCATTTACTTGATTTATATATGGCTTTTAATTAGTTTTATAAGCTAACAATGATTTTTTTTTTTTTATTTACTACAACAGTCATCCATTACTTGGTCAAGCAGAAAACCTCATCAATTTTCTGTCTGGACACAAATATGATGGAAAATATCTGCATGAGCTTCTTAGGGAAAAATTGGGAAACACAAAATTGCATCAGACATTGACTAATGTTGTTATTCCTGTGTTTGATATCAAAACAAATCAACCAGTCTTCTTTTCCACCTACGAGGTTATATTATAATCCCCTCTTTAATTTTAAGCTTTAAACTTGCTACATTAATTTAATTAATTTCAAACTAAATATTGAAATTGAAACCCTGAAATTAATGATTTTGGATATCGTATATATGTGAAGCAGGTGAAGAGAAATCCATCTTTAGATGCGTTACTGTCGGATATCTGCATTGGAACCTCAGCAGCACCGACTTATCTTCCACCCCATTATTTCACCACCAAAAATACTACTAATAGTGGTACTGAAGAAATCAGAGAATTCAACCTAATAGATGGTGGTGTTGCAGCCAATAATCCGGTAAATGTATTTATTATTTTATATATTAATGTGACTTAATTAAAAAGATTAATTGATAAAAAATTATTAATACACCTTTCAATTCAAGATATCTATCAACATCTATTAATTCAGTTATTAAAATTTACATATAAGGTTTTCTCATGATTTTTTAATGAATGTTTTGTGACGTATATTAAATAAAAAAATATAGCAATTATTGTCCATAATTAATATATGTGACTTAATTTTGCATTGTATTATTGATTTGGCCTTGCTAGCTAATTTTACTTAATGTGATTTACTCATATAGACTTTACTGGCTATGGAGGAAGCAAAGAAGGAGATGACAGGGGTCGGAGAAGGCTCCCCGTCGTGTCATTACATGACCAGATTTTTGGTTATATCCTTAGGAACTGGCTCAAACAGATCAACCGAAGACAAACACAATGCAAAAGAGGCGGCCAAATGGAATTTGTTTGGTTGGCTACGTCGTATAGTTGAAGTATTCACTCAAGCCAGTGCCGACATGGTCGACTACCACATCTCCGTCGTACTAAAAATGCTACAATCTGAAGACAATTACCTTCGTATTCAGGTACCCTAGACGTAGACTTCATTTATTAATTTAATTTGTTTCTATAGCATGCATCATGTCAATGACCAATCATATAATTAATACAAATATGTGTGTGTGGATGTTTGTTTACAGGATGATACATTAAGTGGGGTGTTGGGTTCAATTGATATAGCAACAAAGAAGAATTTGGATGATCTTGTGGAAGTAGGGGAAAAACTTTTGAAAAAGCCAGTTTCTAAGGTTAATATGGAAACGGGTTTGATTGAGCCTTGTGGTCAAGGATCTAATGAAGACGCTCTCAAGAGGTTACAAATCTTAATTACCCCTAATTAATTTCTTTAATTCATACAATATATATAATTCTTCTCGTACTTATGCCTGAAAATTTTTTATGTTACAGGTTTGCTAAAATACTGTCCGACGAGAAGCGGCGTCGCAGTCTTAACTCATCCCATCCGCAGACTGCAAGTCTAAATAATGTTAATAATAATTAGATACTAGAATTTTTTTATTTTGTAATTTACTTAATCAATAAGGTTTTGTATATAAAGAATTAACCAAATTCTCTGCTATAATTATACCATGTTGTTGTTTTTTAACCTCAATTTGATTAGTGATTACTGTAAGTTTGTAATATTTTATCGTGTGATTAAATGTGTTCTTGATATGTAAATTTTTTATTTTTTTATA